GCTGAGCGGGGTGGACGACAGGGACCCGGCGGGCAGGCGGTGGCACAGCCGCTCCGCCTCCGCCGGCTCCTTCTTCACCTCGAACTTCATCAGGTCGAAATCGTTCACGTACTCGATGGCGAGGGGGCTCGTGGGCAGCTCCGCGCTCATGGCCAGCTCCGAGGCCATCTCAGTCCATGGAGGGACCGGGGGGGAAAGACCCCGGGCACCGCCGCTCACCGAGGGTCCCGCGGGCTCCGGGAGCCTCCTCCGAGCGGGCTCCGGCGCAAGCGGCTGCCCAGACCGGGCTCCGGCACCTTCCGATGGGGCTTTGCCGTGGGGTTCAGCGGGGCTCCGGGACTCTCCGATGGGGCTTTGCCGTGGGGTTCAGCGGGGCTCCGGGACCTTCGGACGGGGATCTGCTGCCGGCCACCGGGACCCTCCGGCGGGGCTCCGCTGGGGGGCTCAGCTGGGCTCCGGGAACTCCCGACGGGACTTGCGGTGGGATTTTGCGGTGCGATTCAGCCGGGCTACGGGACCTTCTGACAGAGCTCTGCGGTGGCGTTCAGCGGGGCTCCGGGACGCTCCGACCGGGATCCGCTGCGGGGCTCAGACGGGCTCCGGGACGCTCCGATGGGACTTTGCGGGAGGTTCAGCGGTGTCCGAGATGAGGCTCTGCTGCGGGGCTCAGCCGCGCTCCGGGACCCTCCACCGGGGTTCTGCTGCGAGGCTCAGCCGGGCTCCGGCACCCCCAGCCGGGGCTCCGCTGAGGGCTGCGGGGCAGCCACCTCTCTCCGTCGGGGCTCGGCTCCGCTGCTGCGCTCCGGGGCCGTCCTCCGAGCGCCACGGCTCTGCGCTCGGGCCGGGCGGGCTCCGCCGCTGCCTGCGGCCGGTTCCCAATGGCGAGGAGCGGGCAGCGCCCTGCCCGCCCCTTCCTGCCTCCCCTGGCACCTGCCCCGGCCCCACCTCCCCGCGCTCCGAGCCTTCTCCTGCCTCCTCCTCCCGCGGGGACACGGCGCCCTGGGGGCGGGGGCCGCTCCCCTGCCCGCCCCTGCCCGCGACCGGCGCCGCCGCCGCCGGGAGCTGAATGGAACTCGCCGCCTTTTATACGGGGAAAACGAGGCACGGCCACGCCTACTGGGGCGAGGCTAAGCGCTTCCAGCCTATCAGCACCCCGAGAGCCCGCTTGGATTTTCATATCCCCATGGCAACGCCCCCGGGGCAGCTGTCAATCTCCGGAGGAGGGGAAGGCTCCGGGTACCCCCTGGACCCTCTCGGCCTCCGCATCCCAATGTGGGGCTTCATCTCTCACCCTCTGCCCCGAACTGAGTGTGGAGTGGGGAGAAACATCCTCGAAATCCTGATTTCCTACTCCCGAAAAAAGGGAAATATCTGAAAAGGAGTTACTGAGCCTAAATTGGGTTCGGTGCCACCTCTCTGAGGGACCACAGCATCGGAAGGCAGCCCCTTCCCCACCTCAGGAACAGCCCAGGATCCTTCCCGGAGCATTTCCATCCTTGCAGAAAGTCAAATAAATATAATTTTGGGGATTTTTCGGGATTTTTCATAAGCTGTTGGTGGTCAGGCTGCAGCCACGTGTGCCTTTGTACTCCAGTGCTGCCTCTGGTTTCGGAGGTGGTGTCGCACCCAACACAGGTGACATCCACACCTGACACATGAACGGGAGTGTCACAAGACGGAGGAGCAGGATTGCCATCCCAGCACCTGGAAAAGGTGTCACTGGTACACACAGGCAGCAGATCAAGGGGTTTTTGGGGTGCTCATGCCACCCCTGGATGAGGCCCTGGTTGGGATGTGGCCGTGCTGCTCCATCTGCAACCTCAGGGCTGCTGCAGCCTGGGAGGAACGGGACAGGGAAACTGAGGCACGGGGCAGTCGCCATGGAGTGGTCCCACCTAATCCCAAGGGATGAGCAGGTTCATCCCACAGAGGCTGGCAACACCCATCCACTCATCCCATGGGGATCCAGGATTGTCTCTGTCACCCACAGGATGCATCCTGGGTCCCACTGCATCCCAACCCGGCTGCATCCCACCCTACTGCGTCCCACAGGCAGCTCCTTGGGATGTGGGGGGTGACATTCCCCTCATCCAGCCAATCCTTTTTGGGGATCTGGGGACAGGGGACACCGCTCTCCATGGCTGCTAACTGACCCTTTGGATATAGGGTCAAATTAATACAAAAAAGGTATTTTTTGAGGATGAAAAAGTTTATCCCACTGCAACTCCAGCAATTAAAATCCACATTACTTCTTATGCTGGATCTGGCCTCTGATGAGGGTCCATCTTTCTGCTGCTAATTGGGTCAGGGCAGGGGGGGCATTTGTTCCCCTTGGGAAGGGTCATGGATGCAGCCAAAGCCCTAAACATGACCCCCATTCCCTGGTGATCCTGCATGTTATCCCATATTGGACACAGATATCCCACTTTGGAGTCCCCAAACTTGGGGATGACTTGAGGGAGAGGGCAAAGAAGTGGACAACAAAAACCCTTTTTTTAGTGGGGTGGTTTTAACCCTTTTTGCGTCATTGTGTCACCCAAAATCCATCACCATCCCACCTGTGTAGCAGGATACCGGGATCCTGCACTGGGAAAAGATGGGGTGCCACCTCCTTTCCCCTGGCACCCAGTTCCTCCCCAGAGCTGCTCCACCCTGGGGGCACCTGGCCCCCACCAGCAGCTGCCACCCAAGCTGGGACAGGAGCCACCAAGGGATTAGGACCGGGCCGGGCTCCAATGGGGCCGTGGCTCCCCAGCGACACCCCCGGGGTATTTTTAGGAAATGCCCATGGCACGTCCCCAACCCTCCCCGCCACGCCGGACCCGTCAGCTAAGTTTACTCACAGGCGGTCAAGTGACATAACCAGGTTGGTGGCCTCGGGATGGTGGCAGGATGGCGTCACCTTTCTCTTTTAGAGCTCGTGTGCCCCATCACTCCTCGGAGCAGGGCTGGGTGCCCACCTGGGGCTGCCTCAGTTTCCCTGGATGGCACACAGCTCCCACTTGGGGTGGTGTTGGCTTGGGGACAGCGACCTCACCCCATGGGAGGGTGGTGTCCACCACGATGCACCCCATGGAGAGAGGGTGGGACCATCTTGGTGATTCTCCACCACCACCTGCCCCACAACCCAGTGTTGCTGCCGGGTCAGGAATTTCGGGGCGGAGGAGGGAAATCACATTGGGAGGAGGATGATGAGGATGAAGCTGAGGAGGAGAAGGTGGAGAAGGAGGAGGGCAGGGAACAGCCACCCCGATGACAGGCAGAAAACTGATCCTGGCGGGTGACGTTCACCCGGCACCTGCTTCCCCGGCAGGGGACCAAGAGCGCTGCCAGCAGCAGCCGCCGCGGGAAGGATTTTCCGGGAAATGTTTTATGGAGCCCTCCAGAAACTCCACCCTGTGCCAACCTCCCAGTCGTGGCACCCCCCAGGGAATGTCCTTGGCGGGTCCCCGAGCCCAAGAGCGCACCCCTGGCTTCGCAGCGAGGAGGGATAAATCCCATTGGAACCCATTGCCAAGGAACTGAGGATGCTGGAGACAGAGGGGGAACCCACCGGAGTTCAGTGACACCTCTCCAGGGGCCGCGTTTATCCCTGCTTGGAAATTAATCACCCCCAAGCAGAGCTTTAACGACAGCCGGCTGGAAATTCCAATCCTCGCCGGGAAGGGAGCAGCGGTGCCGGTGGGCGGCGGAGCCACCGCTGCTCATTGCCTCCTTTAATTAGTGCAGCACGAGGATTATCCTCGTTAGGGATCCAGCGAAAACCAAAGCTCCTGCCCACCGCTGGACATCCCTGAGGATTCACAACAGCACCGTCTCCTCCAGGGTGGTTTTTAGCGAATTTATTTGAGTTTTTTTAGTATACTGCCACATGAAGAATCATTGTTTCTGGGTGAAAAGTTTTAATAATTAAAAAAACCCAAGGATTTAGGGATCAGAGTGACTCCTCCACTGGATTCAGATGGATATTTGATGGGATGTTCATGCTGAAAAAAGAGGAAAGCCACATGGAGGCTTTTCCATCCCAGGGGAGGGAATTCTTTTATTTACATATCAAAACACAGGAGTTAACAAAAGACATTTTCATATCAACAAAAACCACGACGCTTTTATTAAAAATCAACTCGTTGGACACACCCTGGGGCACAAGTGACATCCCAGGGTGAGGATCTGCTGGTCCTCCAGTGCCTGGGGGATGTTGTGGATTTGGGATGGTGACAAAACCCCTCCATGGGGTCACCTGGTGAAGGGAACCCCACTTTGAGGACCTGTTTGGGGGGTGAAGCTACCGCCCATTGGCATTTCCTACACTACCTCTGATCACATCTGGATCCTGCATCCCCACGGAGCCGCAGTCCTTCCCAATTCCCTCTGATTCCTTTTCCCCACAGGATTTTGCCTGAGGGGCTGTGGATGAGCAGATCCCACAAATCACATCTGTGTGGGGGAAGAGCACCTGCCACCCCAAAATCCCTTGGGAATTGTACCTATGGATGCAAAACCTCATTGTTCCAGTGTTCCTGCACTCTGTTCCTGCTTGAATTTGGAGAGTCCCCAAAAACCCCCAAACCCTGGAGAGCTGCTTGGCTTTCCCAATGGAGGGAGGCCAAACCCCTGCTGGGATAGGGAGAGGAGGGCGTCAGGTGCATTCAGGGAGATCCCAAAACACAGATTGTGATCTCAAAACCACTCCCAACACATTTCCATGAGAGATGCTCTCAGCTCCAGGAAATCTCCTCCCAAAAGCAAGGGGATGGAGTGGGATGGGCTCTTGGAATGGTGGGATCAGGGCTGTGGGGGCTTTACACCCATTACATCCCAGCACAGTGACTTGTCCCTAATATGTCCTGATCTGGCTGTGGGAATGTCACCTGATGGCATTAAACCACCTCAGGTCCCACCATCACCGTGTGGCTGGGACAGCACCGGAGGATGGATGAGGATGGGAAGCTCTTCCCAGCCCCACAAGCATCCAAGGAGGTGGCAGGACTTTCCTTCAATAAACCATCTGAAAAGGTCATTTATTGGTCAATTCAAAGATTCCAAACAAAGCTGGTCCCCCGCAGGAACGAGCGGCGCATTCCCACGCTGCCGCACGGCTCCGTGTCCCAGTGACATCCCGGAAAAGCAGGAGGAGGAGGAGGAGGAGGGGGATGCCACGTCTGGACATGGCATCCTGAGGTAGGTGCCAGGTTTGTTCCCTGGCTCTCCAGTTCCTGAGCTGGTCGGCTGCCACAGGGTTGGGATGGAACTCACAGCCGGGGCTTGATCTGCAGCCGTTTTCCTGGAGGGAGGGAAGGGAATGGTGATGGCGGGAAAGGGGAGAACACAGCTGGATATTCCCAGGCTTCTCCTTGCCTGGTCATGGGAGGGGGTTAAAACACTCGGAAATCGGGAATGTGGGTGGTTCTGTGCCCTGACAGCACCCACTGGACTCACCTCTGCCACCCACAAGGGAGTTCTCGGAATCCTGCAGGAATGCCCTGGGGAACATTCTCCTCCTTTTGGTGTTGCCTGGGAAGGAAAGGAAGAAAAGAGGAGAAAGTCACTGAGGTTGGCTCAGGTCACCTTGGGAATCCCTTGGAATGCAGGTGTAGGAGTGTCCTAAGTTCCTCTTCTGCTTCACCTCCTGCTTGGCCATGTCAAGGATGGAAGTGGCTCATTCCCCAAATCCCTAAACATTCTCAGCTCCCTACAAGCGGCACTCAGAGGTCACTTCCCACTATGGAGCAGCAAATCTGCTGCAAAATTCACAAGTTATGGGTGAAAAAGAGAATTAAAAAGGATCCAAGCCTTCCCACTGATGAACATCAGGACCTGCTTTGGTGCTGGGATGGAGCTGGAAGTTGCTGAGCACCAGCAGCCATCCCACCAAGCATTCCCAGCATCCATTCAGGATGCTCCAGGTGATGGCTTCAGCTTGCTAGAACACAGTGGTTCCTCCAAAGAGGGTTCTGGATGCTCATGTAGAGCCAAAACACCATGAAGTGCCTCTGGGAGGTGACCTCCTTGTAGGACAAACCCAGCATTGTCCCATGGATCAAGGTGGACAGAAAGAAATCCTTCTCCATTTCAACCACAACGTTGTGAGTACCTTTATGGAGGTTCTCCTATTTTCCCTCTCCAAAGGCTTTGGAGAGGTGTTTATGGGGCTCCAAGTACCAGAGTGATGGGTGGGAAGGAAAGTGGTGGCCACTTGGCCACCAAGATGAATGAGGATGGAAAAAAGTGGAGGTTTCCTAGGAAAAAAAGGACCCACAGGTTTAGTGGAAAAAGTTCCCCTTCACTTGGGATTAATGGAGGTGGAGAAGGTAATGGAGAAGATGGAGGGAATCCAGCCCAAACCCCCTCCAGATGTTCTGCTGCCCGTGCTCCTGCAAAAATTCTGCATGGCACTTCCCAAAAGATGAACCCAACCTGGATGTAGGACCAAGGACACCTTCGAGCAGCCTTGAGAGCCCAAAGGAGGAAGTTTTTGGGGGCAGGGGAGGCAGGGCAGGTGAGAACCCAAGAATGAGGAGTCTCGAAGAGTTTTCCTTCGCTTTCCAACTTGGATAAACAAACTTGCTGGGAGTCGAAGCCGCGCTGGCAGTGATTCATCGCTCTGGAGTTAATTTATGGAAAATAAAGAGGGCTCATTTAGCACCTTTCCACCCTTAATATAACTCCCATACATCAGCGGGATGCACGGCAGACACGGCGGATCTGGATATTCCTCACCGGCAACGCAGCCGAATCCGGCTGGGATTTGGGAATGGTGACATGGAGCAAAACACCCTTGTGTCCCCACCCTCCCAATTTTTCCCTTTGGCATCCAGACATGTGGTTTTTCCAGCCTGGGATCTGCAAATCCCAGCCTGGTTGCTGGAATGAGGGTCCGGAGCTGCTGGCTGTCACCTCAAGGGGTCAAAATCAGCAACTCCACATTCCTGCCCCATGGTATGAGTTATCAATAGGAATGGTGGGAAGGGCTGAATTCCCTTTGGATGAGCCAGGGAAAACTTCCTGTCGTGGTTTGACCGGAAATGGGACATCTGGGATATTTTGTTTTGCTGTGATTACCAATGGGTAATTGGAATTTAAGATGGGCACTTAGTTTGACCAGTGGGACATTTGGATCCGCCTCTTGAGACTACGAACTCAAGGGGTTAAAAGCAGGGCTCTTGGCCTTCGGAGCCCTCTTGGGATTTCCGGCGTGAAGAAGTCTCTCCCCCGGCCCAGTTTCTGGCTGGGCTGGGGGAGGGGAGAGCCACGTGGGCCATCTACGGTAGGCCCGGGTTCGGAGGAAGGGTGGCAGACCCTTGAGCGACCTGTTTATTCCCCCCCCAGAGAATGCAGCCCGTGCTCGAACTGTATATCTTGAAACTTGATATCATGTGCCGGCAGGCAGCACGGCTGGGAGGAGAAAGGGGGGGGCAGCGGGCAGTCCGGCCGCCTGGGAGAGCTTTAACCCTTCGGGGAATGAAGGCTTCGCAGAACATTGCCTTTCCTGGGAAAGGGATAGGAGTGGAAGATGAAGGAAGAAAATTAGGCCAGTAAGGAGGGTCTGGCAAAGGGAGAAGAGAGATGTTGAAGGAATGGAGGAAGATGGAGTGGCAGTTTTTGCTGGACTCTTTTTTGTTGTATTTCCATGGACTGTTTCCTGGTGAGGCAGAGGCTGTATTGCAGGGGGAAGCGGAGGCTCGGCGTCAAGAGAGTTTGGTTTTGAGACCCCTCGGCCCCAGGGGGTATAGAAGACATGGGGGGGACAGAGGTCCCAGGATTGTGACTGTACTCTGCTTGGAACGAGACGAGGCATTCTTAAAAGGCCCTGAAGGCAGGCCCCTGCCCCATCCCATGCCAGGTGGTGAGAGCACCTCGGCATGGAAAGGAGATGTCACGAGGTAGCAAGATACCGGGCGGATTGCTGATTGTGACAAGAAGTCCGTGGCACAAGGAAGGACTCCGTCTATCCCTTATGAGCTGAAGATTTGATTTTTTTTTCCAAAGGGTGGTGCCAGACCGAGTGTGGATAATTTTTTGGGAAATGTAAATGTGTTTGGGAATTTGGTGGGAGGAGGATAAGGAAGTGTTTCTGTGTAGTTCTCATTCTCCTTGTTTTTTTCCCTGTGTGTGTGTAGGTTAGTAATTGTGTGTGTAGTTTAGTAATTGTGTGTGTAGTTTAGTTAATAAACTTCTCTTTATGTTTAAGTTGGAGCCTGCTTTGCTTATTTCCTGGCCACATCTCACAGCAGATATCAGGTAAAAGGTATATTTATGGGGGCCTTGGCTTTGCCAGGCCTTAAACTCTAACACTTCCTTAGCTGATATCCATGAGGCAGCTCAAAGCTGGTGTGATTACAGAAGCAGAAACATGGATTTATTTCTTTGCGAGAAAAAGAAAAAAGGTGATTTTTAAATCAACCACAATTAACTTCCTGACTTTGGTACAGAGCCCACAGGGCCAAGATACTTCCAGAGCATCCATGCTTGATTTCCAACAGATTCCTCAGAAAAATCAAGGCAGGAATGAGAAAATAAACCCAAAATAGGTCATGAGAGGGCTAAACTGGTTCCGTTTTTCCCATTGGATGGAAGGAGATGGAGGAAGGATGGCACAGCCCAGGAGTTAACACCACATCCCAAAAAAACCCCCGGGAGGGAAAACCTGGACCAAACGGGGGTGTCACTCCACCCAACCCTGGCAAAGGAAAAGATATTTTTCCAGTTTTGTGCTTGGGAGATCCTGCAAATGGCGTGATCAATCTTGGGTCGCATCTCCAGCTCCTTCACTCTCTCCCCCCGCGCCGCCTTTCCCGGCATTCCGGGAGCGGCGCAATCCATCTTCCAAGGAACCAGGTATATAATTTCTAGTTAGCGAAAGCAACCCCTTTTTCATTCCAGAGATTGAACAGCTTCTGAAGGAGAGGAACCGAGGCCTGGATCACAAGTTTTCCACCGAAACCCAGGCGGTTTTCGCTGAGCTTGTCAGGCTCGTCGGAGAATTAGGACTTCCAGCGCTCTTCCTCCTGATGGAAATCAACATTTATTTTGCCTAAGCCTAAGAAGGTGTCAGGCAGACGGAGAAACTTGCCACTCTTCTCCGGGAAAAAAAGAGGGGAAAGGAGGAAATCTAATAGAAATATATTATCAAGTCTGAGGAGTGGACAGTGCAGTAAATCACACTTCAGGTGGCACCATTAGATTTTTCAATAAAACCTGGTTTTCCCCCAGCCGGAGCTGAGAGGCTCCAGCTGCATCCAACAGGGAAGTTAAAACCAAATTTGTTTCATCCAGATGCTGATCCGAGAGGGACTGAAAGGGATTTCAATGTGGGGAATCCTCTCGGATGAAGGGTGAAAGGAGGTGGGTCTGGGACTGGGGCCCAAATCCTCTCCCTGCTCATCATTCCTGATCCATGAAAGATTAAAAATTGGGTTTCTCTGCAAGGTGGGGAGGTTGAAGGCAGCTGGAGATGCCCCACATCAGGGGTGAAGATTCCCAAACCCCAAAGCAGCGAGATACAGGGAAAAACAACTCCCTTGCAGCTTTCCAAACTTCACCATCCAGCAGGAGAAGAACTGGAATTTTGTTGGTTTCCTTTCCTCAACAACCTTTGGTCTCTGTCATTCTCCTGATGCCACCAAAGGGTTCCATCCTGTCCTGCATCTTCCTCCAGGAGTGTTTAGAGCACCGAGATGCATCCCCAGAATTCCCCTGATGGATGCTCAAGGTTTAATGCCATGAGGAGAAATTCCCTGCAAACACACTTTCCCTACTTATTCCCAGAAGAAAAATATCCCTTAACCCTTTCCAGGACAACTTAGGAGAGTCCAGAGGCTGAATGTGCCTTGGAAGGGTCTTTTCCTTTCACTGCCAAAGTCTCCTGGAGAAACCTGAGCTGGGATATGCCTTATTTATTTATTTATTTATAATATTTTTAAATTTTATTTATTAAATAAAACTTGGCAACTAAAGATGGGGTGTAAAGTCCAGCAGCAAGGGCTGCATCCCAAAATTTTCCACAAACGGTTTTTCATTCGGAAAAAGAATATGGGGAGAGTTGGATCTCCTTGGCTCCATCCTGCACTAAATCCATGTGGTGACAACCTGCACTAGAAACTCATCCTGCTGCTCTTCCACCCCAACTTTCTGCCACAGGTGGATGAGACCCTAAAAACTGAGTCTAAATGCACCCAGCCCTCAAGCAGGACAACACGGATCCATCAAATTTCTTCATGGAAAGGGCTGTCAGGTATTGGAAGTGGCTGTCCAGGGAGGTTTGGTGTCCCCACCCCTGGAATTGTCCAAGGAATTAATGGATGTGGCACTCAGGGCTCTGGTCTGGTGACAAGGTGAGGATTGGTCACAAGTTGGACTTGATGACCTTAGAGGTCTTTTCCAACCTTAATGATTCTGCGATCCTTCCATCTCCATCCCCTACATCCACCAGACACCTTTGGGCTTGGGATACCTTCAGCCTTTGGGGTGCCACAGATGACTCAGGTGTTGCTGGAGGCTGGGTTTGGATCTCCTCATGTCCTGGTGTCCCTGAGTAGCTCCCAAAGTCAGAAACTTCACTGTGATTTAATTTCCTCATTGCAAAGTGTCCAATTTAGAACCTACCAAGTCTCACTCCTTTTCCAGGACTGAAATATTTTTCTTCCATATTGATTTTTTGCCCATTTTTTCCATGGAATCCTGAAATGGTTTGTATTGGAAGGGACCTTAAGGACCAATTCCCATGGGCAGGGACATCTTCCACTACTCTGGGTTGCTCCAAGCCTCATCCAAACTGGTCTTGAACACTTCCAGGGATGAGGCATCCACAACTTCTCTGTAAAACCTGTGTCAAGGCCTCACCACCCTGGAGATGTTTGCGACCACAAAGAGAAATCAATTCCCTTTATTTTATCCCCACTGCTTCCTCCCAAGAGGAACCAACCGCACCAAGTCCTGCTGGGGTCAAAGTGATGCCAGCTCCTGTTATCCCAGGACAATCCCCTCGTGTCCAAACCCTCCATCCCCAACCATGCAGATGCTTCAGGGAAAGCTCCAGGGCATCTTCTGCCACTGATCAAAGGTTTGGCTGCCTCACCTGGCTACCAAAAAAAGTTCTGGAGCAAAGATCTGCTGGCATAAAAAGCCCTGCAGGAGATGCTGAAGATGATAAAGATTCAATGGGATCCAAGGGGGACTGGCCATATCCACATGGAGCGCAGCAGCACTGGAATTCTCCTAAATTAAATTGAGGCTGTCCTGTGCAGGATGAGGAGTTGGACTTGACAGTCCCTTCTAAACTGAGATATTCTCTAATTCTCAGATTCCTGGAGCTGGGAATGGTTGGATCAAGCCCCGCCACCAAGGCAGCGACGACAGCGGCAGTTCCGTGTTGGGGTCATCTCAACCACGGCGAGAAAAGAGGCGAAAATCCACAAAATTCCCAAACTTATCCCTCCAGAACTAGAAGCCGTAAACAAACCCAGAAGCCGCTGCCGCACCTCCCCGAATTCCTCGGAAGCCGAGGCGGTTGAGCGTGCTCAGCGGAGCCGTTAAAAAAGACTGGAGCGAGCATCTTCCATTAACGTTACGACCGTGAAATATGACAATAAAATGACGGCCGTATGGTCCCAAATTTGCAGCCCGCCGAGCTGCTCGGGGTTTATCGTCACTCAAACGTGCAGAGAGCTGTAAAATGTTTACAGAAAGGGTCGTTTGCGGCTATAAAATCCTCTTTTCTCTCCTAAACAAGGCTGAGCGGAGCCATTTACAAAGCCCGGAATGTTCATCGGGGGAGAGGGGAACATCTGTTCTCTCCAGGAGTTTGCAGTGATCTTCTCGAACAAATTAACTAAAATGGGTGCTTTCTAATTAAATTAGCACTCGATTGGAATGGTTTGCATTGGTGCAATTAGCGCAGGGAGGCCAGTTAGGCTCCAGCACAGGCGATTTAACTGGAAGGTGAAATATGGAAAAGCCCATTACCTGGAAAAAGGAGTTGGAGGAGCAGGGAAGCCTGTTCTCCCTCTGGCTCCATGCTCCTGGTGGGATAACACAAGGTAAAGGATGGGATGCCACCAAACCCACTCTTCCCATTTGGGAGGCTTGGCTGGGAGCAGTTGGCTGGCCCCATGCTGCATGGATTGGCTTTTTGGAAGATGCTTGGAAACCACCAGCGCCCTCAAATTACAGAATCCCAGAATCATTTAGGCTGGAAAAAACCTCCAAGATCAGCCTTTATCCGATCACCACCTTGTCAACAAATCACTCTTCCAACCTCAATTTCCAGGCTTCTCTGGAGGGTTGGAAACATGACAGTGGCTCTGCTCCATAGATGCAGAGCACATCTCTCCTTTCCAGTCCCCTTTCCCTATATCCTGAACCCAGACCCCCACTGAGACCATGCAAGCTCATGCTGTTGCCCACGCTGGTCCTTAAAGGTCATCTCCAAACTCCCTCCCTGCCCCTCCCGTGTTTTTCCTCGTTCCTCTTGCATTTCCCAGGATTAAAAGGGCATTTTCTCCAATTGTGACTGTTTAACCAAGGAATTCATCTCATTCCTTAATGACAACCTGTCCTCCTCATTATTTACCATCCCAATAATTTGTGTGTCAACTTCAGGCTTCACAAGCACAAATCCAACATTATCGCTGGCATAGCTCTCCAGATCCCACCCCCAAATCCCACCACATACTCCAGCTATTTCCTAGAGGAAAAGAGCTACACAAGGACTCATCCTGACCACCTCCTGAGCTCCAAACTCAACCTCAGGACCACCAAACATTATGAAGGAGTACAGGAATATTGGAAGGGATCCACAAGGGTCATGGAGTCCAGTCCAAGTGATGTGGCCACCTCAAAGCATTTGGTCCTTTAGAAGCATCAATCCCAAGTCCTCTAGGGATGGTGGCCGGGGCTCCTCTTATCCCATTGGATTTGGGGGTTCCCGGGTACTGGGATTAAGATGAGACCCAAGGATGGGAAAACCCATGGATCAACATTCCCATGTCCAGACTTGGCATGTCATCACTTTGGCAGGGAAATTGCTTCATCATCAGCTGATTTTACAACCATCTGCAATTCCTTTGGTTTTCCTTTCTTATGGATCCTCCAGCACCTGCTTTCCCAATTCCATGAGCCTCCCTGGGCAAAGGAGCACAGAGGGATGAGTGCCCTGACCTCATAGCTGCCAGCTTCACCCAGCCTTCCTGATGACATTCCCAAATGAACCAGCTCCTCCTCCTCATCATCCTCCCACCCAAAACGCCTGGAAATCATCCTTCCTCACCTTTCCTCTTAATTCCCACTAGAATTAAGAGGAAAAGGATGTCCTTGCTCCTGAGTTACTCCCAGCTGCCAAGTGTACTCCAAGGCATTTCAACAGTCTTCTTGTCCATTAATTAATTGTTCCAACTTCATAATGGAGACAAAAATCCCGGTTAAGTCGCTGCTTTGGGAACACTTCCCAAGATCAAAAGGGAGTTGAACCAGGGCCAAGGAAAAGGAAGAAGGGGAGAAGAAATCCCTGGAAAGGGAAGCTGAGTGTTTCACCCCGTGTTGTGCAGAGGAACATTCCCAGCTGGAGTGGTCCCCTCGCTGTGTCCACCACACTGTGGTTCAACAGCACCCGCGCTCGTCTGTGACTTCAGGAATATGTTGCTAATCCTGGGAATTCTCTTTCTGACAGCATTAAGGCATCTCAGCCCTCCCTGGCTTGAAGCGGCTGAGCCAGGCACAGCCTCGCAGATCCTTATGAATGATCCCGTAAATGCTTCAGCCTGGCTTTTGCAACGGAATTCATCCCTTATCCCAGTGGGATCCTGCTCCGGCTGCATGGAAAGCAGGGATCAAAGATGGGAAAGGCTCACCCTGAGCCAAATCTTGTGCCAGCACAGCTGACAACAGGAATTTCATCTTTACTCCCATAAAAAATTGTGATTTTTGAGCCCATTCCTGGATGGTGTTCTGGAGATGAGGGTGCGCATCCCTCTGGAGAAGGATGGGAGAGGAAAAGGGAAATGTGGAGCATCATTCAACCAAAACCCTCCCACTCAGAGCTGGGAAGAATCAGGCACAATTCCGACCTCACCATCCCCTCTCTCTGGGGGTACATCCCTGGAGCACCCCAAAATCCCATCCCTTTAGGGATTTTCCCATGGAAGAGCTGAAAGAGGAGAGGAGGAACCAAGGAGAACACTGGAGAAGCAGAAGCTGCTTGCTCTCACGTGGCAGAATTCCTAAAAAGCTCTGCTCATCCGAAACCGTGTATCCCAAAAATTTTACTGACTTCCAAAGTAGATAATCCCAGACGAACAGTTCTTCCTTCAAATTTCCAACCTGCAAACACTCCATCCCACCTCCCATTGGAATGTTTTTATTGTAAAGCTTCCAAGCTATTTCCTGCTGGGAAACAGGTGTGATGGATGGTCCAGAGGTCCCCCAGAGGCAGAGCATCCTTGCATCCCACTAAACACCTTCTCTATAGGGCAATGATGTGATTCTATCATGGAAATGAGACCGGGTTCATCATTGGATAATTTACATGATAAGGAAGGAGTTGATAAAATAAGGGGACCAAGTCCTGACACACAATTTTGGGAACGTACACAAGGATTTGTGCCCAGATGGGAATGATAACTGCCATCCCAGTTTGGACTCCCGGTCTTAACTGGTTTGGTGACTCACAAATAACATGGATAAACCCATAAAAAATCTCGCAGAACAGCAGAGAATAATTTTTTTTCTTGGAAAACCAGAGCAGCTCCAAGTGGAGGATGTGATTCCTACCTGGTTCATCCTCTGGCTCGTCCTCATCCCTCTCCTCTTTGCAGCCCAGGGAACCGGGAGATTCCGGGGAACGGAGGGAGATGAAGGATGGCAGCTTCTGCAGGCAGCTGCTTGGCTTGGGCTCCTCCTCTTTCCAAAACTTCACCTCTTGGTCTGCACTGGAGGGTCCAGGAATTTCCCCGTCATCCTGGAGCTGAGCTGGATCATTCCTGCAGGAATGGGAAAAAATAGTAAGGAAAAGTAAAACAATCCCACTTGGCAACACTGGTCAGGGCATCATATGCAATGGAAGAGGCTTGGAGCTCCCAGGTATCCATCCAAGGCCATGCTGTATCCCTGATTTCCCTGGAGCCAGCACAGATTCAGCTGGACTTTCTCCCTCCCCATCTGGATTCCCTGTCCTGCACTTCCCTGCAAGGCTCCCAGCTCCTCAGATTCTTGTTCAGGTGCTGGGCTCCTGTTTGTGATCGAGCAGAGGGAAGGGGAGATGGAAGGCGTGGGGAGCTGGGATGGCTTGGAGGTGTCCTGCTGGGCTTGGCTCATTCCCAGCCCTGCCACTCTCTTCCAAGCTAACTTGACACTCCAGCTCCTTTGACATCTCCCATGACGGTGCCAATAAAGGAAAAAAAAAACCCTCTGGAGCAGCTTCCAAGCTGGGGCGTGCTCCCTTCCCAGCGGAGGACGCCAGGAGCCTCCCAACCAGGCAGGCCTGCACTCATTCCTCCTTCCCTAAAAAGAGCAAGGAGCTATTTTACACCTCGTTCACACCGGGAACGTGAGCTGGGTGTCATTCCAAGGCTCTTCTGTCACCAGGGATAAGTTCGGAGAACCCGCGGAGCTGCTCGTCCCCCTCTGCTACCTTACAAGGCAGGGCCAGGATGAGGCCCAGGCCCAGACCATGGAGGATTCCAGAAGCATGGACCAGCCTGGCAAAGCTCCCAGGTCCCTCCCTTTCCATCTCACCTTCACTCCCACCTCCTGCTGCAAAAGCCATGGAGAAGCCATGCACCCAAGTCAATCCTTCCTCCTCTCACTGAGCAGGACTTGAAGATTTTGGCTTTTTAAAGCCAAATTTCCATTTTACTTTAGTTTAAATTCCATTGGGATGTTGTTGTCCTGCATGCAGGACTTGAGAGTGAGGGCAGAGGGTGTGCCAAGCTCAGGAAAATCCTGTGAGGATGAGGATGGACACATCCATCATCAGCCTGTGGCTCCATCCTGGCACCCAATAACAACAGGGAGAGCTCAGAGAGCTTCCAAGGATTAACCAAGGGCTCAGTCCAGCATCAAACTTTTCCAAAGCCTCTTATCTCCATGTCCATCCTCATTTCTGATTCTCCAGTCCCTCCATGCCATGGAGAGGGCTCAGCTCTGCTCTCCAACATGGATGTAAGGAAGAGGGATGATGTTTTCCTGTTTCCCACATAACTATGGATAACCTGGACCCACTTTCAGCAGTGGAATCTCCATGAGGACTCCTCCATCTCCAAGAGGAAGATCTACAAAAGCCTCTAAGGTTCCTGGAGGTGCTAAAGCCCTGGATGGCACATTCCTAAGGGTGAATCCACTCTTTTCTCTCCATCACCTCTTCCTCAAGCATGGACACTGCCCATCCCAGACGTGGCTCCTTCAGGAAACACCCCAGCGACCCACACCAACACATCTTAAAATAACCCAGGATACAGACATAACACGCCTGGAAGAGGAAAAATCTGGAGCAGGTTGGGAAGAAAACTGTTAAATGAAGCAAAATGAGCTCCTTCCTACCTGCCTGATGCCTCCTGGATCCGTCTCCACTTGGAAGGGGGGTTGTTGTGGTCTCCATCACCTCCAACCTGCTGTGGACGACGTCTCTTCTGGGGGTGCAGGAGTTTGCACCGGGCACCCTTGGGGCAGACCCCCTTCTTGGCAAAGTCGGGACAAACCAGCGTGTGCTTCTTCTTGCACTGCCAAGGAAAGAGGAAGCAGAGTTGGAAAAGGCAGGGAAAACACTGTGGGAGCACAGGAATCCACAACTGAGCTCCTTCAGGTGGCACCCACACCTTGCTAAAGGGAGAGAGGGATGGGTTGGTGTTTCCTTCTCCACATCAAAACAATACTCCAAGAAAAAATACTACTAAAAATAATATTCTAGTCTGGTACATTCCACATCTGCTCACGGTTTTCCAAGTGCTTGATTTTATGGATTCAAACCACCAAAGCAGTGATTTATCCCTGGAGAAGTCCCAAGGAGATTATTTGGGCTGGAGAAGCTGGTTTTGGAGACGACACAGGGTTTTGTTGTCCCAGACATGCTTGGAACTTGGGAAAGTGCAGGGAACAGCCAGAACAAAATCCTTTTAGGAGTTATTTTGGGATTGCTGCCCAGACCAGCCTTCTGAGGAAGATGGAAGAGGGCTGGAGCTCAATATGCTCTTCCCAAGGCTTGGTTGATGCTTTCCCATCCCAGGAAGCTCAGTGTGCCCATGGAATGGGGCTGTTAAAACAACAGCATTGAGATGTTCATCCCTAAAATGGCTCCTGCACTCCCAACTCTGGATTTTGACAGCTCCCAGCAGCCACCAGTGGTTCTGGTGGGGACAAGGTGTCATCGGTGTCCCAGAGCTTCCCCACAAGGTTTTCTGCTGGGAAATGGCACTTTTTGGCAGTGGGAAAGGCAGGAAGAGAGGCAGGCAGGGAAGAGGAGATGCCTTCAGCTGAGATTTCTAGCTGGGTTCCTGGGAATGAAGTTGGGAGGAAGGAAAAAGGACAGCCTCTCTCTAATCTCTGTTCCCAGCAATCCAGAGAGCTCATCCCAGCATATCCCAAGGGATGAAAGGTGGGAGCAAGTCTTGGACCCCTCTTAGTCCCATATGGACCCATTCCCACCCAGGATGCTCCATCCCAACCATCTGGCTTTTGCATCACATTGTGACATCCATGGAGAGACAACCCAACACACGTGGCACAACCAAAAATTCCCAACTCCAGCATTCATTCCTTTGTTGACCTTCTCCAGTAGAAATGTGAGTCCTTCCACACTTGGGTGCCCAAGCATCCCATTCCTCCATGCTACAGACACTCAAATTTTGGGGAAAACAAGAAAAATCCATGGGGAAATAAACACAGGGAGGGTTTCAGCACCACCATTCTGCCCTGTTTATAAAAATCCATCCTGCCAACAATGGGGGATGGAGGTCAGTTCCTGCCCTTTTAATGCAACTTTAATTTGGGGACGCAGGAGCATCTCCCCGTGCTGACCTTTGGGATTAAGCAGGATCCCTGCCGAGCTCTCTCCTGGAAAAGCAGAAGGATTTGGCAGCTCCACTGCCCAGGGCTGAGCGCTGAAGTCAGCGGCGGAGCAAGGAGCTCATGTGCTGGAGGTTGGGGATGGTGCTGAGCAGCAGGAGGGCTGGGATCCACATGGGCACACGGATATGGGCTCAATGGGGGGGACAGCTCAGTGATAGTGCTGCTTTTCCATAAAAAAAAACCCCATTTAAAACTCCCATTCCTATGATTTTGCACCTTTTATTTCAAGCAGCTGGAATGGGAAGTAATTCTACAACCAACGGGGAAACCTGGAAGTAGAGTCAGGTCTGAACAGGGCTTTGCCATTACTCCCAAATCCTGTGTTTTTTAGGAACATTGAATCATGGAATGCTTAGAAATCATCCTGTTTCAATCCCCTGCCATGGGCATGGACACTTTCCACTATCCCAGGTTGCTCCAAGCCCCATCCAGCCTGGCCTTGGGTACTTCCAGGGATAAGGCAACCACAGCTTCTCTGTGCAACCTGTGCCAGAGCCTTCTCAGCCTCACAGGGAAGAATTTCTTCCCAATATCTCATCTAACCCTGCCTTCTGGCAGTGGGAAACCATTCCTCTTTTTCCTGGTACTCCATCCTTTGTCCCAAGTCCCTCTCCAGCTCTCTTGGAACCCCTTTAGACACTGGGAGAGACTCTAAGGTCTTTCTGGAACCTTCTTGTCTCTAGGCTGGATATTCCCAGCTCTCCCAGCCTGGCTCCATAGGACATTTTCTTCATTTTCTCATTTTACCTGCAGACTGGATACATCCTGGACCAAAAAGAAATGCTTGGAAAAGGTGGCAACCAGACAGGAATTCAAACACAGGAATTTCTCCCAAAATATTAGCAAGCAGAGAAGCAAATCCCTCAACCTGATAACTTCTTTTAAAATAAATGGGACAAAATTAGGGAACAGAAAAAAATAAAGGAAGAGCCCATTAGGGATTGAAGACTGGGATGAATGCATGGGCAGACCTTCCAAGGCCCCTGGAAGGGACAATCCCAGTGGAGCACAAGACTGTGGGGATGGGCCTTGGTGCCAGGTCCTGGTCTGACCATCCACAGTTCCTGGAATCACAGAATATCCTGAGTTGAAAGGGACTCCCAGGATCATCAAGTCCAAATTCTGTCTCTGCCCTGCACGATCCCTGAAAAGGATGTCAAATCCTCTTCTGTAAAGGGGTTTCCAGCACAAAATCGACTTGGAAAGGAGAAGAGCAGGGAAAAAAAGAGCCCCGACTTCAAAAAGCCACATGGATGCATCGCTGCTACATCGAGGAATTATGCTATTTTGGGAAAAGGCCAAGACTGTTCCTTCCCAGCAGGGCACCAATTACGGGGTGGGACAGTGCCATGATCCCAACTGGGCACTGGGATCAGGATGTGCCACCTCCTCAGTGCTCCACCCAGCCCCAGCCTCCAAGTGAATCCTTGGAGCAGCCCATGTTTATTGGCTCCATGGTAAAAAGATACTTAATAAAGAAAACAAACCGGGTGCGACTAATCCCGGGGCCGCGTCCCCAGCTCGGGTTTCTAATGGCTTTTCCACACCGTTCCCAGCGCTCCAGTCCTTCCTCCGCAACGCCCCATCCATCCTCGCTGTCCCACAGCTGGGATGGTGAGGCTGGAATTGCCTCTGGAGGCTGGAAAAGCCCCTTCTGTTTATTTACAGTAGCTCTCCTGCTCCTGCCAGATCCGACATGCCGGGGCTGGGTTTCCACAGGGAATTTTGCTGCCGGCCACGCGTCAGCTGGGGTGAAGCCGAGCGGGGCTGTGGGGTGGTGCTGGGGGTCATCTGATCCCTGACACCTGTTGGGGTGGCTAATTATAACCCCCCCGGGACCCCCGCCAGACCACAGGTTGGGCCATAAAAAGGGAAAAAAACCTCTGGTCCCTTCCACCAGAGAGATGAGAAAACCCCAGAGAATCCCTAAAAAGCCGCAGGGAGGAATCTCACCCCACTCCGGCTCCTCGCCAACATCCCCATGGGCATGTCCCAATCCCAGTCTCCCGGCTGTGGGGTTCCCCCCACAGCCTGTCCAGCAACGGTGCCCAGGGTTGGGATGGTGCCCAGCTGGCAGATCTCATATCCAGGACTCCTCCTTGGCTGCCAGGGCAGCTTTGGGTGAAATTCCAGGTGCTGTCAAGGATCCACAAGGCCTTAAATGGTCCAACGGGGCCCAACGTGCTCCAGGAGTGAGACAGGGATGAGGAGGTTTGCAGGGCCAAGCCTTCTTTAGCATGAAGCTGGCAAAGGAGGAGGCAACAACTGGTGGAAAGTCCTGGCCCAGTATTGGGAATGATGTTAATGAACATTTTCCATGAATAACCTTGGCAGGAGGGGATGGAGGGTGGGAGGAAGGTGAAGCTGGGTCACTGGGCCAACCAACAACCAACCCACTGACCGTATGGGGTGGGGAGGAGAGATCCCACCCAGCCTCACATTCCTGGCTCCTGGGCAGCAGTTTGGCCAGGTTGAACTTCTCAAGTATCTCCAGGCTTAACCTCACCCCCTGTTCCTTTCCCAGTGCTGTGGGACAGCAGGTGACAAGGGCTGGACTTCGATGATCCTTGTGGGTCCCTTCCAACCCAGAATATTCAGTGATTCTGAGATGGCAAAGTGCTGAAGCACTCTTCCCATCTCCTTGGGATCTATGTCCATCCCTCTATCCATCATGACAGACACAAATCCCACCAACCAGACCTTCAGGGGAAAGGGAGCATTGAAATCCCCAAAACTCAACAGCCTCAACTCCAGTGTTTCCCACTTTTTAAAGCCCTCTTGAGCATCCATGCAGCTCTTGCCGAAGCTATTCCAGGTATGCCCATGGCCAAGCAGTGGGATTAATGGACTGGATGGATGTCAGGCTGTTTTAATGTCCTTCTAAGTGGTTCTTGGGAAGTGATGGCTGGAGGTGCTGGAGCTGTTTTGACGCCGCTCCGAAGTGACAGCCAGTAAATGGCTTTTTTCCGATTGCTTTTTTATAATTGGGTGCAGATGGAAACAGCCTTTAAAAAAAAAATCCCGGCTCCCTGTCATTAAAACCTGGAGGACAATACATCCAAACATCATCCAGACTGGAATAATGACGGAGAAATTTAACCGATGTGGTTATCCGAAGGAATTTGCTCCAAAACAAGTTTCTGCCCTCAAAACAGTTTGCCCAGCAAAATGCCTGTAGTGAAGGGATGACTCCTGATGGTCATCTCCAAATGATCAGAGGAATTTGGGATCTAAAAGCTCTCCAGGATCCACTGCAAATCCATAAACCCTCTTCTTTGGAATGTCCAGGAGATAAAACAACATTTGAGCTAAAATACCTCTGGAGCTGGAGCAAGACCAGGATGGTGTTTTGAAAATCATTGGGAAAATCATATTTAAGAGTCAGCAAAGCAGCTGGGAGGGAATCCCTGCTCATGGCAGGGGGTAGGAATTGGATGGTCTTTAATGTGTCTTCCAACCCAAAGCAGTCTGCAGTCCCAAGATTCTGTGGAACAACGGCAACACCCACTTGGTGCCATCTGAAAACTTGCCAAGGGGGCAGCCAGACCCATTATGTCATTAATTAGAATTAATTAGCATTGGTCCCAGTACAGACCCTTGAGGGACATCACCTGTCACTGGCTTCCACCGGAAATTGAGTCATTGACTTTTTGCA